TCTAATTCTAATTCTTACTTGCTTAGCTGAATATCTTTTTTCTACCAAAAAGAAACGTCTTTTCATCGTTTTTCTGGTTTGATATTGCTTAAAAAGAGAATTTTAGAACAAAAATGAAAGAAGAACAAGAGTTCGAACCGCTGAATCAACAATTGGCCACCCCGTCACCGGTTGAGGACCTCAAAGAAGGATCAGTTGTCGAGAAATCGGTGAGATAAAAAAGATTTAGAATAAGAACATGAAGAAGAACATGAATAGGAACAAGAACAAGAACAAGAACAAGAACATGAATAGGAACAAGAACATGAACATGAACAAGAACAAGAACATGAACAAGAACATGAACAGACAATGAACAGGAACATGAACAAGAACATGAACAAGAACATAGGAACAAGAACATGAACAAGAACATGAGTAGGAACAAGAACATGAACAAGAACAAGAACATGAACAAGAACATGAACAGGAACATGAACAAGAACATGGACAAGAACATGAACAAGAACTAGAACATGAACATGAACATGAACATGAATAAGAACATGAACAAGAACATGAACAAGAACATGAACAAGAACAAGAACATGAACAAGAACATGGACAAGAACATGGACAAGAACAAGAAAATAAACAAGAACATGGACAAGAACATGGACAAGAACATGAATAGGAACATGAACATGAACATGAATAGGAACCAGAACATGAACAAGAATAAGAACATGAACATGAATAGGAACATGAACAAGAACATGAACATGAACATGAACATGAATAAAGCTTTCGGAAGACAAAAACAAGCATTTTCTTAGAACCAAATTCCAGATGTGGAAACAAGTCGTCGAATTCTTAAAAACAACGACCGCCCACGGGCTCTCCGCGATTCCCAGGGCGAAAAATCGAAAAGCCCGCGGCTTCTGGTTCACCATTTGGTTTTTCTTCTTCATCATGTTTCTCATTTCGGTTAGCTGAATATCTTATTACCAAAAAGAAACGTCTTTTCAGTGCTATTTCCTGCTGACTCGATACCGAAATCATCAAAAGTCAACCTCGATTATTGTGGGTTTGCTAAAACCTTAACATTTTATAAAAACACGGAATGTGGCGTCAAAAACCTCGATTACGTCCCAAAAGTTCTGTAACTTTTTGTAAAAGCAGCAATAACAAAAAAACTTCTTTTAAAGAATTTTTTATGAAGAAAATCGTCAAAAATGGCATCGGGCTGGAAAGAGATCGAGTAGTGCTCACTCAAAAGCTTGTCACACGAGTTGTATGACTCCAATTCGAAAGCTTCTTGTATGTAAATGTAGCCAAGATTCCGGGCTTCAAATCTCTATATAACACTTACCACTTTTGAAATAAGATAGACATTTGCTGCTTTTACAAAAAGTTACAGAACTTTTGGGACACCCTGTACAGGATGTCCCACAATTATAATTACCAAATCTAAAAAAAGCCGTTTCAAACGTTTTCTTTTCATTGAGTCTGTCAAAAAATGTCTTTTTATCCCATTTTTGGCTTTCATTCTGGTTGTTTTGAGGATTTGATGAACTGAACTTTTTCCAATACCAACAGACTTGGCCATTTTTCGAACAGAATTATTTAAGGAGTTGGGGTTCCTTCGATCGATCAATTGAAAACTTTTGACGATTTGTTGAATTGTTGAAAGTCTTTGGTGAACCTCGTTCTTTACGAGCTTAAAGTAACTATATAGGAACTAAGTAGGAACTAAATAGGAACTAAATAGGAACTATAAAGGAATTATAAAGGAATGATAAAGGAACTATAAAGGAACTTTAAAGGAACTAAATAGGAACTAAAAAGGAACTATAAAGAACTTTATCGAAGTCCGTTTCTTTGAAACGCTTCAGAGCCTTAGAGCTTCAGAGCAAAACCGCTTCAGAGCCGCTTCAGAGCAAAACTGAACTGAATATCTTTAGAGATTGGTTAAATTTCAATACATTTAAATAGTCCACATTTAAATATTTTGATTAGAATTATAGTTGTTTTTAAAGTTTTCAAATTTTCGAGATTCGAGATATCTCTGCGAGTGTTTTTCCTTGTTGATGAAGAGTAATGGATGTAGTTCTTTCTTAGACTTCATACCTAAATAACAATCAAATCATCGCATTAATAAGAAGAAAAGAGAAAAAAGAAAGACAGAAAGCAGTTAAACAGTGCGTCACCATAATTTTGGGACACCCTGTAGAAAACGTTCAAAAAGGCGCCGTCAAATTTCTCACAATTCAAAAAAACCAAGCCGGTTTAAGTTTTATACCAAAATTTGTTTTAACTACATCCCAAAAGTACTTGTTAGTTAAATTTCAATACTTTTAAATAGTCCACATTTAAATATTTTATTAGAATTATAGTTGTTTTTAAAGTTTTCAAATTTTCGGATATGTCTGAGTGGGAATTGAATTCAATTCAATTGGATAACTTTAGAGAAAAATCGAATTTTCTCAACCTCTTGGTTATCTCGAATTTCTTCAGAAAACCAAGAGCTCTTGCGCGTGAATTTATGAAAATTTTATTTATTTTCATCTTTATTTATCTTTATTTATCTTTATTTATCTTTATTTATCTTTATTTATCTTTATTTATCTTTTAATTTGTTCTACAAGCTCTGTGATACTTTAGTCTTACTTTTTTTACACTTTTCTTTTCACAGTTCACATCATTTTTCTTACCTCTCCTCAAAAATGTCACGTTCTCCATTACAAAGTATCTCTGTTCAAATTCTTTTAAGCTTTTGATGTTCTTTGGGCTCTTCTTTTTTTGTTGCAAACAAACTCTAAATGCTCAAAAAAGAAACACTTTCCAAAATGCTCAAACATTTTATAAACTGAGGCTCTGTTTGGTGAGGAGAGTTGTTCCACTTTTCAGCTTTTTTACTCATTGACTCATCGAGTCATTCTTTCAAGACATTTATGAATTTGGTTGGGAAAGTTTTGAATGAAATAGTAAGCTATAGTAAGGCTAAAGCTTTAAGAAAACAATTGCTTTTAAGAAAAGGATTTAAGAAAAGAATTTAAGAAAAGAGTTTAAGAAAAGGATTTAAGAAAGGGATTTCAGAAACGGATTTAAGAAAACAATTGCTTTCATTGATACAATATCGTACCGTATTTTCTCTAATAGTAACACAGTGCGGTGTTTTCGTCCAATTAAGCAATGGCTGAGCATTTTTGCTTCTTATTTAACAAATATTATCCTTCTAAAGATTTCCATAGTTCTGGCATACCGTATTTTCTCTAATAGTAGTGCAGCCTGAGCGTCGCCTAAATTGCTCGAAATCTCGAGAACCGCTTATCAGAACCTATCGATGTGGGGTTAGAAAATGTAGCTGACGATGAGATCTTGCAGGGGATTAGAGTGTTGAGCTTCTGTGAAAGCTTGGGAACTGTAAAATAGTCATCGACTCGGCTCGGCCCGAGGGAGGGGGAGAGGGCATTACAATTAGAGAAAATACAGAATACCGCATTCTCTCTAATAGTAGTGCACCCTGAGCTTCACCTAAATTCCCCGAAATCTCGAGAACCGCTTAGCAGAACCTATCGATGTGGGGTTGGAAAATATAGCTGACGATGAGATCTTGCAGGGGATTAGAGTGTTGAGCTTCTGTGAAAGCTTGGGAACCCGTAAAATCATCATCAACTCGGCTCGCTGGGGTGCACTACTATTAGAGAAAATAGGGTAGTCTTTTCGATTAGATAAATCATTCTCGATTAGATAAATCATTCTCGATTAGATAAATCATTCTCGATTAGATAAATCAACTGTCTCATCTATTTTCTACTTATTCTTCGAGTTATCCTTTGTCTTCAAAAGTCAAAGACATCCTTTCTAATACAATCAATTCCAAATTTTACAGAAATAGTCTAAAAGCTGGCTGGAAATTGATTAAATGTAGAGATTTTTGATTTTTAAATGTAGAGAGCTATTCTACAACACAAAGGCATTATTTGCTTCAAACTTGAGTGCTACAATTTTGAGAATAAGAGAATAGTAAGGAGTCAAGTTTAGCTAGTCTAGCAGTTTAGCTAGTCTAGCATTTAACTCTAGTCTATCTAGCAGTCTAGCTAGTCTATTTAGTCTAGCATTTAACTTACTTACATTTACTTTTACCGCTTCATCCAAAACAACAACCAATCAAATAAATAACTGATTTCATCAATGATGAGCAATTGTTTTCTGCTTTTTTTACACTCCCAATTCCTCTTAGCCGTCTCTTTTCTCGTTTCTTCAATGTTCAAAAGATCTAGGTCTCAAAGCTGAGCCTCTTGATCACAAGCTTTTCTTTCTTTTCCAACTTTTGAGCTGACATCTGAGCTGTCACTCTTTGCGAAACGCTTCACACAATAGAGCACGAGAATTTTTCGCATTTGACAACATTTTGACTAAACTCTTCGGCATTTGATGTTGATTGAGAATTTGGGTTAAAATTGATTCTGATTTTGAAATGCTTCTGAGTCTCCTTCTGAATCTGCTTTTGAATCTGCTTCTGAATCTGCTTTTGAATCTGCTTTTGAACCTGCTTTTGAATCTGCTTCTGAATCTGTTTTTGATCTGCTTTTGAATCTGCTTCTGAATCTGCTTCTGAATCTCCTTCTGAATCTGCCTTTGAATCTGCTTCTGAATCTCCTTCTGAATCTCCTTTTGAACCTGCTTCTGAATCTGCTTCTGAATCTCCTTCTGAATCTGCTTCTGAATCTGCTTCTGAATCTGCTTTTGAATCTGCTTCTGAATCTCCTTCTGAATCTCCTTCTGAATCTCCCTCTGAATCTCCTTCTGAATCTGCTTTTTGCTTTTGCTTTTGCTTTAGATTCAAGTTTATAAGCGTTTATTGGATTGAATTTGATTTTGAAACTGTTATTTTTATTATTTATGTTAGTATTTATTTTATTATTTATTTTATTTATGTTATTTATGTGATAATTGTACGGTTTCTATTTGTTTGCCATTGTTAAAGTTCTTTTTTTCAAATATTTCTTTTAGAGATGCTCAAATCAAAGGATGTCAAACATGCGAATGTCAAATACAAGCAATTGTCAAATAATAAAGGTAAGTGAAAATATGAAAAAGATATCTAAAGAACAATTATTTTCAACCTGAAAATGTTTCCTTTTACATTCAAGAGGGTCTAAAAACCCAGAAGCGAACTCTTCCGGGGCAAAAAAAGGGCAGGGAAAAGGAGCCATGTCATTATCCAAAAGAGAAATTTTTACAGCTTTTCACGTTTCTAAAAATTTCATCTTCTTATAGGTAAAGTTTCAATTTCTTCTTCTTCATCTTCTTCTTCTTCTACTTCTTCTACTTCTTCTACTTCTTCTATCTTCTTCTTCTTCTTCCTTATCTTCTTCATCTTCTACTTCTTCTTCTTCTACTTCTTCTTCTTCTTTTTCTTCATCTTCATCTTCATCTTCATCTTCTTCTTCATCATCTTCTTCTTCATCTCCTTCTTCTTCTACTTCTTCTACTTCTTCTTTCATCTTACATCTTCGTTTCGAAAAACTTCATCTTCTTATCTCTACTATAGAGATGGTGGCTGATAATTACCTGCGCGTGGTTTTCTTTTCGTTGACAGCGCTCCGCAAGCATCTTTCTAAAAAGTTTATGTTTAAAAAGTAGCTAAGTATTTGTAGTTTTTCAAAATCAAAATCGTTTCTCAAAAGCTCTTTTAGTTTTTTAATTATGATTATTCTCGTAACTTTTAAAAAAGGCTACTGCTCGTTTTTTCAAAGTTTAGCTGGTATAACAGTAAAGGCGAAATGTTTGCGCTTCTTGGATGCTTTTTTGGATGCTTAGGTTTGGTTTTCTCACTTGGCTTCTTCAATGCTTAACTTTAGTTTTCTCACTAGGCTCCTTCGATGCTTAACCTTAGCTTTTTTCAAGTTTTAGGCTAATTTCAAAATCTAAAAAACTAAAAAAGTGAAAATAACATGATGATCAACAAAAAATGATCTTTCCTGATAAATTCTAGATGAAATTTCCCAACAAAAATCACAACTTAGCCCCCCTAAACAAAAAGGATTTTTGAGATCATTTTTGCAAAGAGACGTTTAGTGTGAAACGGCCTACTCGAATTTCATGCCAAAAGCTTAAACCAAAACCAAACCACTCATGGAGATCTCGAAGAACTTTAAGATAAACTTTAAGATCTCCATGAGAAAGTGGAAATAAAAGTGAAACCAAAAACTCTAAAGCTATTTTGATTTTGATTTTGATTTTGATTTTTGATTTTAAAAGAATTACACCTGGTCACGCAAACAAATTAGCTTATTTAGTCACAATTTTTACCTTAATCTTTGAATAGTAAACTTTTAGTAGTCAAGTAAAACTTTAAAAGCTTCTTTTAATCTGTTCGTCTGTTCGTCTGCTTGTCTATTTTTTTACTACTTCGCTTTACTTACATTATCGTGGAGATGATAGCTTCTTCTAGGGGATGATAGCTTTTTCTAGGGGATGATAGCTTCTCCTAGGGGATGATAGCTTCTTCTAGGGGACAATAGCTTCTTCTAGGGGACAATAGCTTCTTCTAGGGGATGATAGCTTCTTCTAGGGGATGATAGCTTCTTCTAGGGGACAATAGCTTCTTCTAGGGGACGATAGCTTCTTCTAGGGGGATGATGGATGAAGCTTTAGGTGAGATTCTTTTTAAAGACAGACTATTGGGTTGGAGAGTGAAATGGCGCTGATTTTCAGAAATTTTTCTTGAACGTATAAAAGCTGCATATAATCTATTGTTTTTATAATCAAAAAGGCCTATCATTGCTCTACAAAATGCTTTTTGAGAGATTCCAAAAAAAGCTCCAATAGTAGCTTTTGCTTTTGTTTGTTTTTGTTTTTCACAAAAGCTTTTGTTTTGTGGATTCTATGAGCTCCTAAAAGCAACCAATCAAAATGAGAAGTCCAGTCCGATTCGTCGTTTGACTCGTTTCTTACACATAAACTTAACTTGATGTCAAAACAAAAAAGATAGAGCACACTCAATTACATAAGCTGCCAAATTTTCAGAAAGATCCCTCCAACCGTTTTCTCTAGATGACAGTTTATAGAGCTTGTGAAAAAATGGTCTAGTCAAATCAATCTAGTCAATCTTTCGTTGAGCTGAGGCGCTGTTTGAGTTCTCTTTTAAATGCCATTTTGTAGAGAATTAGTTAATCTTTCTACGAATAGCCGAGTCAAAAAAAAATTGAGCAATAGAGAACGCAATAGAGAACGCGATAGAGAAAGCACATTCTTTGGTTTTGCATAAAAGCAAAGGAACCTGGGACGGAGCCGAACCAGTGACCCTTTGACTAGCAGGTCGGGTTTTTAGTCACTCAGCCATTCCGCTAGCTGTACGGCGCGTGTGAGAGTCCCTTTAAAGTGCGTCGTGTATCCCCAAAACTGTTTAATTTTAAGCTAAAACCTTGAAACCCTATATTTCATTTATTTCTAGCATTTAGCAACTAAAAACTTCAGACAATTCTTATTTTGTGATGTTCTTTTCCGTCCTGTAATGGAGTTGATCTGAGATAGTAAGTAGTAAGTAGTAAGTAGTAAGTAGTTATAGTTCCCTCGTTAGTACTTAACCAAATATCTCAAAAAGATCTAGAAAAGAGGTGTTTCTGTTCTTTTTAAGTTATTCTAACAAATCGACATGGAAATTTTTGATTAATTACGATTGGAAAATAGATATAAAGCTGGGAAAATTGGTCAAACATTTATATGCCAATTTATTACGATAAAGAGAGCACTGCAAGAGCTTGGACAACAAAGTTCAATCCTCCACCCTCTTTCTATCACAATCAGTTTGACAAATTAGTTTGCATTCTTTTCTTTGAGACACTAATCGAGGCAACTGATCCACCCCGGTTTTCTCACTCCTCTTTTCTCCCATTCAATCTGTCTCACTAGCAGACAACAAGTGTGTTTGACCCAGCTGCTGTTTATTTGGTGATGGATTTAAACTTAAACTTAAATCTTGGATACTTTATCTTCTCTTCTTCTTCATTCTTCTTGATCCAATGCCATTTCTGATCTTGATTCAATGCCATTTCTTGATCCAATGCCATGTCTGATCTTGATTCAATGCCATTTCTTAATCCTCTCTTCTTCTTGATTCTTCTTGATCCAATGCCATCACTCAGAAATCAAGACCCAATCCTTTTTGTTCATTACTTTCTCCATTTTTACTCAAATCTCAAAAAAACTTTGATGTATTAGATCTCAGCATAAATTTCTTCACCGCCTTTTTACTGATCGGACAAACAGCTAGCTAGAACCGTTGTATCGTTGAAAAAGTAAATCAACACCGATGAAAAGACTGATTGATGGGTTGTTGATTGGAAAAATTTTAAGGCCAGGAAAATGAGGGTATCAAGGTGAGAACATAGTGCAACTTGTCAGCAACTTGTCAGCCCGTTTCTCACTTTTCTACTTTTTGAGCTATTTATCCAAAAACAGCTGACTATTCGTGTCCTTAAGAGTCAAGTTTAAAAATTTCTACAACTTTCCATTCAGAGTCACAAGAATCAATGCTTGAAATTGGAAAAGTAGACCTTATGGCGAATTCAAAACTTTATCAGATGTTATTTATTAGAATTATTGATTTATTGCTATTAGATTTATTATAGATACTAGATTTTGTTGGAAAATTGAGCGCTAGAAAGAGTGCTTCAAAAATTTATTGGGTTGGTGAATTGAAAACTGCGGGACTTTGAACTAAAATTTATTCCCCTGAGCCTGGCCTAAATTCCTCGAAACCTCGAGAACCACTTATCAGAACCTATCGATGTGGGGTCGGAAAATGTAGCTGACGATGAGATCTAGTGGGGTATTAGAGAGTTGAGCTTCTGTGAAAGCTTGGAAACTGTAAAATAGTCACCAACTCGGCTCGCTGGGGGTGCACTACTATTAGAGAAAATACGGTAATAGTAATAGCCGAGTTGATGACTATTTTACAGTTCCCAAGCTTTCAAAGAAGCTCAACACTCTAATCCCCTGCAAGATCTCATCGTCAGCTACATTTTCCGACCCCACATCGATAGGTTCTGATAAGCGGTTCTCGAGATTTCAAGCAATTTAGGCGACGCTCAGGGTGCACTACTATTAGAGAAAATACGATAGTTTTCTTGAACGATTGACCAGAAAGCTTGAAATGAAATCCTATTTAGTTTTTTTGAAACGTAGCCCATTTCCTTGTTAGCAGAAAGTGAATTTTTGGCAAAAGAAAGAATTGAAGCTTTCGCTCAAAACAAAGCACGAAAATTAAATCATCTCGGTATTTGTGGTTTCAATTTTGGTAAATTTTCCTTCATCTTTTGATTTTACGACTTTAGTTTCTTTTCAAAGACCTGCAAGTCGTCGATTTACTAGTATAGAAGTTTACATTTCATTAAGTTAGTACATTGTAACACGTTTTCTTATCGTCAACTTGCTTAAACCCCAGAGATTTGAGTCATTTTCAACTCTTTTCTTCTTTTCCTTTTCTTTTTTCAACTCTTTTCCCCTTTTCCCCTCAATGAGCTCACATTGAACGCCACGTAAAACCAAAAAAAGTTAGATTCACTTGTTTAGATTAGAAATAGATTCAATCAAACACTTCCTGGGTCTGTTTTTACACATTTTTAGCATAAAATCGAATGGGAAAGTTTCTGAGACTAAGAAGTCCCCATGAATGACAAGTTGGGGAGAGTGATTTTGAAATGAAGGGATTTTCGGGTACTCGGCCATGACACCCCCAAATAATGCATAGAGAATCAGGGGTGCACTAGTCGACCTTTCCGAACCTTGACCAATCTCTTCGGATCACCAAGAAAGTACTCACCAAGAAAGTAACCACTCTTTCTTTTTTGTTACTTGTGGATTTGGTCAATTTTGCATAAAAGCTGGATTTCAAATGCTGAAACTGACTATTTGGCTATGCAAATGCGAAAGTTCTGTCATTTTTCGAATTCTCTCTAAAAGCTTCTTGATTTGATTTGATTTCATAAGTGTTTAGAGCCAACAGATAGCCAATCTTTTACAGAATTTAATTTAACCTTTTTAGATTTTAAGTTATCGCTCTTCGAAAAAAG